TGAAGGTTCCAATTCATGATCAGCTGCCCTAGTTGCTTTTGGCCTGTGGGGGTCATTTTATGATAGAAGCACTTGGTGGAGCACCCCATTCACCTTATAGCTTGGAATGTGTAATAGGAACAAGAAGGGACCAGGGTCCCACAACCCCTTCCAAGGGCTCATCCCCAGTGACTGGAGCACTTCCCACAAGGCCCTACGTTTTAAAAGTTTTGATCACCTTTCAGTAGTCCTAAAGGCTAAAGACCAAGCTTTTAACACATGTGCCTTTGGGGGGTGGGCATTTAAGGTTCAAACTATAGCATGTAATATTTTCTTCTCATATTCATCTGTTTGTATGAAGTACATACACTGTACTTCTCTTTGGAGACGAATGACATAGAAGACCTCCTCCAAACTTACCTCTTCTATTCCTAAAATCTCGTTTGTGGTCAGGCCTATTCCCAGTAACCATTTCTTCATGACATGTTTCAGTGTGATGAAATCACTTGCTGCTACTCATATTCTTTGATCATGCCATTGCCATGCTTCTGTAGCTATTATGTCTGTACTATTGTACTTTCTGGGGTATCATATATAGCTATTGATTGCTCTCCTCCATGCTTTTCTCTCTTCCTGGCAAACTTCTTTAAGTATTAAGAGTTTAGGTTAAACTAAACTTTCTGGAGCTCTTTATAGTTTCACTATACAGTTGTATAATTAATATTGGAACAACATGGGGCTTGGCATGCTTACACACCATCAAACAGAAATCTGAGTATGACTTTTGACTCTCTAAAATAGCAACAAGAGATGGCTATAAAATTACTACAATATGTAACACAGGTAAGTTTATGCAGTTAGGTTTTAATACTGCATCTTTACATTCATTTACATTTCTCTGGCATGTGACCAGTCCCATGTACAATCTGTGTGTAAGTTTTTATATAATCTTGAACTTTTTATAATATAATAAGTCCCTGACTTATAAACATTCACAGATGGGAACAAATCACAAAAGTAGCTCACATGTCTGCCAAACATTGTCACAGTTGTGCTGCTTTGTGCTTGCTGTAGAGTGTGATAGTGTACAGTAGTACAGTGCTCAGTCAGAGACCAAGATGTCCAGAAGCAAGAGGAAGAGCAAACGTGATGTGGAGGGGACTGCAAGGAAGTGCAAAGCAATAATCATGGGGACAAAAGTGAAAATAATTAAGATTGGACTGAGGCAAAAAGATGGAAGACATCACTCATTCTTATGCATCAGTCAACTATTGGCACATTTCTAAAAAACAAAGACAAGAACATGGGACATGTGAAAACTGCTATGCCAACAAAGTCAGTAATATCCAAAAGGCGTGGTCAAATGGTAAGAGATGGAGAGACTTCTCACTGTGTGGATTTAGCATCAGCATCAAGTTCCCTTCAATGCTTATTCAAGAAAAAGCTAAAAGCTTGTTTGAAGACTTGAAGAAAAACCAGAGGGAACAGGGTGCTTCTTTTACTGACAGCCATGGGTGGTTTAACAGATTCAAGGCTAGAGCCAGCCTGAGGCTGCAAGTGCAGATACCATTGCTGGCCAAGAATTTCCAGCAACACTTAAGAGAAGTTAATGATGAAGTTGCTTATTTACCCCAACAGATTTGTAACATTGAGACAGAACTATATTGGAAGTAGATGCCAGAACATCTTCTTACATCAGTAAGAAGAAAATGTTGATGCCAGGCCTCTAAATAGCAAAGGACAGACTTAGTCTGTTGTTTGGTGGCAGTGCTTCAGCAATATGAAACTAAAGCCTCTCTTAGTTTTACCATTCAGAGAACCCAAGATCCCTCAAAAATATAGCCAAGGGTCCTCTATCTATTGTGTAGAAGAGTAACTCCAAAGCTTAGGTTACCCAGGCCAATTTCCAGGACTGGTTTTTCTAGCACTTTATCCCAGAGATAGAGAAATATTGTTTGGAGAAAGACACCCCATTCCACATTCTTTTGCTGCTTAACAGTACACCAGGTCACCCCCAATTCATGGATGACTTTCTTCTCAAAGTCAAAGCAGTGCATTTGCTGCTGAATACTACAGTGCTTATTATGGCCTATGTCTATGTGTCCTTCTACAGCCTCAAGTAGTCATAGGTGGGGCTTTTCAGAGGTGACTAGATCTAGAGCATGTAATCCTGAGATGAAGGGTGTGTTATCACTAAATTAGTCTATTGATTGGTTTGGCATAGTTCTGCGTGTGGATAATAAGAAGGCTCCCCTGGATAGAAAAAGTAGCCTGGATAGAATATAAGGGACAGAAAGCAGGCTGCTGTTGTCACTTGCTGCTGCCTTGTTACTTTGTTGTCTTCTGTGTGCCATGAACTGTTTCTCTTCTGTGATGCCCCTCTGCCATGCCACCCTGACTTGGAGCAGCTTACTATGAACTAAGACCTCTACAAACTGAACTACAATAAACCTTTCCTCCTTTAATTTTGGATGCCAGGTATTTTGTCTCAGCAGTGAGAAAAGTAAGACAGTGCTCATCCAACCTATCAGCAACCAAGAAGTTATTATTATTTTCAAGAAACATTATCTATGTCACATTTACCAGGCAGTGAAGGCAATTGATGAAATGCAACAGCCTTGTGAAAACTTTGGAAGGACTGTAACATCTTCAAGAGCATGGAAAATACAACTTTGCTTCACATGAGGTTTCGGGTGTCACCATGAATGGGGTTGGAAGAACCTTTGCCTGCAGTTTGTTCGTGAAGTTCATGGACTTGAGGAAATGGTTATTGAGTCCAAAGAGGTTGCCAACACCTTAGTGACCCTTAGCAAGAAGCTGGAGCTAGATCGTAAGAGGACAGCTTCATTGAACTCCTTGCTGTGCAACATGAGGAGCTTACTGTTGAGGACCTGATGGAATTAGAGGACCAGTAAAAAGATGAAGAGAGCCAAGAGGAAGATGGAACTGAAGATCCAAAGAGATTCACAACACAGGAAATGGCAAGGGGATTTTCTTTACTTGAAAAAACAGTGTTCGTTGTTGAGGCACAGGACCTGACGTAGAATGGTACACGAAGGTTACAGCTGTCATTAAGAATGCCATTCAGTGCTAGAGTCATCTGTGATAAAAAAAAGAGCTACTACTCCGACATCACTGGACTGTTTTTCAAGAGAATAGACAAAATTGAATCCATCAAAAAAACTGTGTGATTAGCCTAAAGTATGAGTGAAATTTCATCTTGCCCTCCATCTCCTATTGCTGATGATCCTTCAACTCCACTGTCTCCCACCTACCCTCTCTCCTCCAGTTAGTAACTTCTCAGTTCACTCCATGCAATCCCCTATATACCAGTTGTACTGTACTATACCACCATTTTATGGGAACTGTGAAAGTAAAAATAGTTTATTCACACTTGCTGTAATGTACTGTACCACCATTTTTTTTTTTTTCTTCATTTTGCTACTGGGGATCGAACTCAGGATCTTCTGCTTGTGAGGCAGGCAGCAGCTCCACTGAGCTAAATCCCCAAATCGCCAGCACTTGTACCACCATTTTAAGGTAACTGTAAAAGTAAAAAGTTTATTTACAGTATTTGTGTGTATGTTGTTTTTTAAATGCTTTACATTGTACATTTGTGTTATTGTAATTGGGATTGATTTTCCTAAGGACTTGGTAAAAAATGTGTTATAAAAGCAAAAAGAAAGCAATGTAAGTTTTAATAATAACTTAAAACAATAAAATATTAAATGAACTGATTTTACAAGAGTTACTAACTCATTAAATTAAACCTGCACTGTATCCAAACCTATCACTTTGACCCTTCTATTTGGTATAATTGATACTTTCCTTTAAAAAAACAAAAAACTTTAAAGGATCCCTCCTTATTGTTTTTGGAGTAAATACTTTCAGATTCTGGTTCCTAATTTTATCCCCAGCCTCATAATCTTTAGTTATGTATTGTGTCCATTCTTTCTCAAATACTTTATTTTCTTTCACTCCATATACTTTCACACTTACACACAGTAGTTCTCAAAAGTGTGATCTGGGATACCTAAGTGTTCCTGAGATCCTTTCAGAGGTCCTGAAAAAAATCTCATAACAATGCTATGACATTAGTTACCTTTTTTAATCTCATTAGGTGGCATGACAACACTGTTGATCTAATGGCATATGGATATGGGCTTTTGTATCATTGCCTTTTAAAAGTTTCTATCTTTAAATTCTAATAGGGTAGGTATTTAATCAACAAAATCTCTTCAGAGTCCTCAAGAAATTTCCAAGAGAATAAAGGGCCTGAGTCCAAAAAACTTGAGAACAACCATTCATTCCTCAGTTAGATACTTGCTAGAAGTCTTTGCTTGGTTCTTCCACCAGAAGAACCTTTGGGTAACTTTCTTTGGTTTAGACTTACTTATCGGATCATAGCATTTATCATATTCTATTAGGGCAGATTAGCTGTTCATGTAGGCCAATAGACACACAGCAAGTTTCCTGGAAGACAGAGCTCTCATATCCCCAATACCTAGCATAATTCTGGATATATAGTAAATGCTTAGTACATGCACATTGAGTGAATATCTCTTGAAGTTACTTGGGAATAGCCTACATAATTCATTATCAGATTATGATGATTATAATTTGTTTTTAAAATTATAACCATTTTGTGCTTTAGTGATGCATTTTTAACCCACTGATATCTGAGTTGGTATATATATGTATACATATTCTACTCTTATACATATATTAGACTAGAAGCAACCTATTACTACTACAAGTCTAGAGCTCTGTCTGAACCTGTCTTCCATAAATAAATATGGAGCCTTGGACAAATCTTTTATTCCTTTGAAGCTAACTTGCCTCTTCAAATAATGGAACTACCCCACGTTATCTATAGAATTCTCCTACATCACATTATGTGATCACGTATGAAAGGTATTGAATGTGTATTAAACCTGACTTATTTTTAATTTATGTTTGCTTGATTAAAATGTACATAAGTATAGATTTATCTGTATATTAAAATAACTTTGTTTTTACAGGAAAGATGATAAAGACTATGCTTTAAAACAAATAGAAGGAACTGGGATCTCTATGTCAGCATGTAGAGAAATAGCCGTAAGTAAAGCTCTTTTTATTATTATCAATTGATTTACAAGTGTCAACTGTATAGGTCTTTGTATTACATTTGCCACATTAATTGAAAGCTAATGAATACTTTTTATGTCAAGCATTTATGGGAAAATTGTTTTTGTTTTCATTTTTTGTACTTTTTTGAGACAAAGTCTCACTATGTAGTCCAGGCTGATCTTGAACTCATTGTGTAGTCCAGACTGGTCTCAAATTCATGGCAATACTTCTGCCTCAGCCTCATGAGTGCTGAAATCACAGACGTGCACTGCCATGCCTGACTTTTTTTCTGAGGAGAAATAAAAGGCATATATTTCTAGCAGGAATTTCTGCATAAATTCATTTATTTATGATAAAGTTAACATGAATATGTTTATAGGGATATATGTATTTTCCAATAAATGTCACTAACAGTTAAGGTTCTAGTTGTTATTTCATTTGGGTCAATAAAAGTGATTAGTCCATATAAAATTAATATTTTTTAATAAGATGGGATTAATGGCATTACTATTTTAATAAGATAGGATTAATATCATTAGTATATCAAATTAAAATATGATCATACGTTTGGTTATCATTGTATCTGTTCATTTGAGTATGAAAAAATTTATGCCTTTTTCTTTTGGAAGTATAGCTTTCCATATGGTAATTAGAACCTCATTTTTATTCCAAAGGGAAGTATTCTTCATATTAATGCATTACTTAATCATTATACATGGATTTAAATTGAGCATTACTTCCTTAAGATTTTATTTCAGTTTTGATTTTGTTTTAGCCTCATTTAATTTTTTTTTAAATTTAAAATTCTGAGTCCAAATTTTTTTTCTGACTTTAATCAGAATATTTTGGGATTATATATTATAATCTTTGCTTTTGTTCTTTTCAGCCCTTCTATCTACACATAAATGGGCTTTTATGACCTGGAAACATTAATATAAATAACTGTGCTCATTTAACAGATTTTGTGACAATGAGCCTTCATCAACAGTCATTTATTGTGTACCATGTTGATGGGGACAGTGATTAGAATAGGAAGAGTAAAGAAACAGGACAAAATGAGGGTCCCTGGCCTCAAGTATTTACTCTATGCTGAGGAAAAGAGATTCCTAAATCTTACAATACAAACGGGACCAGGCACAAATGATAAAAGTGTGTGGGAATGGGACAAGAGTATACATCTAGAATGAAGAGTCAAAGATTTCAGGTTTGGGAGAACATATGAGAACCACCTCCACGAGGGAAGTATAGGGTGAGAGGGAGGACATTCTTAGCCAAGAGTATACCATGTAGGAAAGATATATTAAAATTACTGTAATTGATAAATTTTAATGCTCTTGAATCTGGAACAAGAGACCTATACACTGACTATCAGTTCTTCACCTTCTATTATTCTGTATATGCAAATTAGTTGTAAAGAATTAAAATCTATTAAATTACGGTCAGTGAAGTCGGAAGTTAGGATAGTGGCTGTCCTTGGAGGAAACAATGACAAGAAATGGGACAGGGAGATTTCAGAGTGTTAATAATGTTCTGTATATGAAAATTCATGCATTATATACCTACAGGTCTTTTCCCCTTGTGTGTGTGTGTGTGTGTGTGTGTGTGTGTGCGCGCGCGCAAAGAAAATGCTTTTAAAAAACAAAATATCAAAAAACAAAACAAAATCCCATTCAATTCTGAAACACATGTCCTTGTTACATACATGGTGTAATAAAAATATGGTAAATGTTTAAATTTTTAAAATTATCACAAAAGATACATTGCCATTAACCCCCCTCAAAATACTCCCCCCCTTGCTTCAAACACTTATCCCATTATTCTTGACTCTGAAGCAGTTCTGAAAATCCTCTTTTGTGAGTACCTTTAGTTGAGCTGTTGGAGCCGCCTCAATGTCTTGAATCACTTCAAAATGTTTACTTTTTATGGTCATTTTGACTTTGGAAAAGAGCCAGAATTTACATGGAGCCAGATCTGGTGAATAAAGTGGGTAAGGAAACACCATGTTTTTAGGAAAGAAAAGTTCCAGAAAAATGGGCAAGGATGATGGGATAGACAAGTAAATTTAAGGGGATTTTTTGAGGGGAATTGATGACAATGTGTCTTTTATACTTTGGTTACTTCTTGCAGATGTTGATAATTGTAAATATAATCAAATGCAGAAAGAAATTGGAAAGTCCACTTTTGGTATGTTTGATCATGGTTCTTGAATCTACGATGAGCAAAAATTTTTAATTTTGAGGATGTCTAACTTACAAAGTTTTCTTTTCTATTTCCTGTATCTTGGTAAAGCAGTCTTTAACCACTCACCCATTAAAGGACTGTATAAATGTAGGCATATTTTTAGGCTCTCTATTGACCTCTTTTTTTTTTAGTTATTTACCAAGTCAGATGTAAGTCCATCATCTTTGTTCTAGCAGGATTATTTGAGCTATGTTAGATCCTTTGAATTATATAAATTTTTGAATCTGCTAGTCAGCTTCTATTTCTGAAAAGTGCCTTCTGGGATTATGATTTCAATCAATCCAGGGAAAATTCATATCTTTTTTTTTTTGAAAATTCATATCTTAATAATACTGAGACCTAAGCAAATGGAAAGACATACTTTCCATTTTATAAGATTTTTAAAAATTTCTCAACAGTGTTTTACATTTATAGTTTTAGGGTAGAGGTTTTGCGCACCTTTTGTTAAATTCACTCTTTAGTGAATTTAACAAGTTCATGTTTTCTAATAGTAAAAATAAATTTTTAAAAAATATTTTATTTTTGTTTATTCCTGTCTTTTCTCAGAAATAGAATTTTTTTATATTGTATACTGTATTGTGTATCATGTCTTGAGAGATTTCTAAATTCACTAATAAATTTGTGGTGGTTCTGTGGGCTTTTCTATATAAATAACTATGTCACCTATGAATAGGATAGATTTATTTCTTTTCAATATGTTATGCTTTTCATTTCTTTTTTTTTCTTTACAAAGCACTGGGTAAGACATTTCACATAGTGTTGAATGATGAGAGCAGGCATTTTTGACTTGTTCCTCACCTAACATTTAGTATAATGTTAACTAGGTTTTGTCATAGTTGCCGTGAATCAGATTTAGGAAGTTCTCTTCTATTCCTAGTTTTCTGAGAATTTTTTAATGTTGAATTTTGTCACATGCTTTTTTTATATGTATTTACAGTTCTTCTATTTTGTTCCATTAAATTGGAAAATTACATTGTTTAATTTTCTAATGTCTAATATTAAGTTTTGCATTCCTGAAATAATCTGCACTTGATTATATGTTGCTGGATTTGTTTTTCTTTTCTTATTCAGTTTTTATATTTTATTAGTACATGTTTACATAAGATTACATTCCTTGTGGAGAGTTGGTACATGTACATAATATATATCAGTTCTTTTTTTGTCCCCTTTCCCTCCCTTGCCCCCTCCATCTCTTGATCACTTCCCAGTTTGAAAAAGATCTATCTCCTTGCTTTCTATTATCTTTTATTTTATTCTTTATACTTTGAATTTCTCATAACAAAAATCATGCAATATTTAAACTTGTATATCTAATTTATTTCACTTTACATTGTGGTCCCAAGGTGCATCCCTTTCCCTATAAATGACTCAAGCACTCTATTGTGTATAAATACTAAATACCACAGTTTCTTTATTCATTCATCTGTTCATGGTCTTGTAGGCTACTTCCAAGATTTAGCTGTTATGAGTTACATTGCTATAAACATGAGTATGCATGTATCCCTTTAATATTGTCTTTAACTCTTTTGGGAAGATACCTAGAAGGGTAATGGATGTGTCTAATGGAATTTCTAGTTTTAGTTTATTGAGGAATCTCCATACTGATTCCCACAGTGGTTGTACTAGTTTACATTCCCTGCAGCAATGTAGGCGGGTTCCTTATTCCCCCATAGTCTCCCCACCATTTGGTGCTTGATTTCTTGATGAAAGCCATTATTTCTGGAGTAAGATGGATTCTTAGCATTGTTTAAATTTGCATTTCTTAAATGGCCAGCAGTGTTGAACCTTTTTTCATATACTTATTGGCCATTTGTACTTCTGAGGAGTGTCTTTTCATTTCAGTTGCCCATTTTTTAACTGGGTCTTTTATTTTTGGAGGGCATCTAATTTTTTTTTTTTAGTTCTTTATGTATTGTAGATATTAGTCCTCTGGCTGGGGAATAGCTGATGGACAACATTTCCCATTCTGTAGGTTGTCTCTTCAATAGGGAGTTTTGTTTGCTGTGCAGAAGCTTTTAAATTTGATATAATCCCATTTGTTGATTCTTGGTATTATTTCCTGTACAATTGGGGTTCTGTTCAGAAAGTCCATGCCTATTTCTATGACTTCAAAACTTTTACCTGTTTTATCTTCCAGCAATGTTTATTATAATAACAATGTTTATTATTACAATATTTATTATAACATTAAATGTTTATTATAAAAAGTTTATTTTAGGGCTGGGGATTTCACTCAGTGGTTCTGCTGCCTGCCTCACAAGCATGAGGTCCTGAGTTCGATCCCTGGTACCAAAAAATAAAAAAATAAAATGTTTATTTTAATATTTAGATCTGTGATCTGTTTTGAGTTTACTAAAGTACATGGTCAGACATGTGGGTCTAGATTCAGTCTTCTGCATGTGGATAGCGAATACCATTTATTAAAGAGGCCGGCTGTCTTTCCTCCCTTGTGTATTTTTGCCTCCTTAGTTAAAGATCAAGAATGTGATCTTTGAATATCCCTAGGGTTGTTTCTGCATCCTCTATACTGCTCCATTAGTCCCTGTATCTGTTTTTTTGCAAGTATCATGCTGTATTTTTTTTTTTAATCATTGTAGCTTTGATATAATTTCAGGTTCAGGATTGAGAAGCATCCTGCTGTGTTCTTGTTACCAGGTTTTTGCTTTTGCTATTCTGGGTCTCTTCTGATTCCACATGGATTCTAGGATTGTATTCTCTAGTTCTGTGAGGAATGCTGTTGGCATTTT